CTATATTTATGCAATATATAGATTTAGTCAGGGCTAAAAGCGAAGCTTTCATTAATAAATTTATGATTTAAATCAAACAAAAAACTTGTAATCCACAAATAAGTTAACTTAAGGGCACATTCATGACTGTTGAGGGAAAGGCTTTGTGATTTTAGAGTGAAACATCTTACATCGAGTTGATAGCCTTGTATGTACACCCAAAAAATACAGGAGCCGGCTCCTGAAAATACCAATCATCCTCCATCTCATTCAAGAGCTATAATGGCTCTTGATTACAGTAGATTACGCCTGGAAAACAAATCAGGCCCAATTTTTTGCGTTCGACAAGTTTACTTTACAAAATCTTGCTAACAAATTTGGGGGTCTGTAAACCAACCTTTTATATACTTTTATACATCACATCTGAGGTGAAACAGTACTATGAGGTACTGTATTTATCATAAAGACCTTGGACAGAATGCAGTATTTCACAATTTTTCAAGACAAATTGCACCCAGTCAATATTCAGGACGATCAATCCTGGGCTTTTTAATAGCGAAACCGTTCAAAAATTTCCAAAATCACCTATACGGCCAGCCGGTTCTCATTTTTGACAAGCGCCAAACTTGCAGTGCGAGCTGTGTCGAGTGTTTGAATGAACATTAATAGAGTTACGCTTCAACATAATAAAGAAATTATTATGTTTATTCTTTTATTTAATGGGTTTATAACGTTTGATACGCGCGGCATTTTAAGTCCTCCTGCAAGCGATGTTCATGAACGACTGAAAACAAACGGCACAGCGATTAAATTTGTAAAAGATCCCGGTGTTTGCTTGTTTCAAAGATGAACTAAAAACAAGAAAACCGCTCAAAGTTTTCTTTCTACAGCCAAATTTATAACTGAATATCCTTCGGAACGTTTCTATCTCCGGTAAGAAAGTATATCTAAAGGCTTTTTAAAGTTCTGCCAAATCTTACGAAAGCTCATAAACTTGCCGCATAACTGTGATCGACTTCACGAAATTAGATATAAAACAACAAACATGAAATACAATAATTACTCGGGCATACCAGTTGAGAAGCAGCTCCTGAAAGCTATATATCAAGTAAGACCAGAATCGCTTGAGACTTTTCAACCCTCTTACGTATCAAGCAACGTGAAAAACGAAAACGATGCCATCCGAAATCGGATTTCCGACTTTGACAAGCCACGCATTTCTCAACCAAAAAACCAATCAACAAACCAGCTATGAATAACAGAACACTCTTGATAGCAGCTGCATTTCATTTTGTACATCAAGTGGAAAAAGACAGTTAAATACATCACAAGTTGACGCAAAACTCTGTTAGCTTCAGCTGTCAACACTGGACGAAAAAAAGGGATTTGCTTTAAATTTGCTCAGCGCAAATATGATGCAAATTTGTGCAAACTGGGGAATAAATCTGAGCACACCTTTTACACCGGGGTGTAAATAGGTATGAAAATTGAGGTATGCCTCTGAGTCAATAGGCCATTCGGCCTTCGGCCTCATAAGCTACTGACTCAGGGCCCATTCGGGCTCGAGGAATAATTGTTAAATATTTTCGATTTATTACTACATCACCTTTTCCTTATCGCCAAACGATATATTTACACATGTACGTTAAATAATTGTAACCCTGTACTACAGGTTTATATACAAACCGTAATGAACTCCATGAAATTGAAAAAGAGGTTGCATCTAATAATAACAATATATCTTCCTTCAAAAACAAATGGAGCCCTCTTAAACTTTGATCCTCGGAAAAATTGCTGGTTTTCAGTGTCACGCCATTCAAAGTAGATCAAAATAAAAATCAAAACCGTTCAATAGATAAAATCCAGAACCTGGGAAATAAAAAGGAGGGAAATATGCAAAGACCCTCGCCAACATTCAGGCCAGAGGACTATTTCGTATACGAGATATCCGAAGAAATGTTTTCACAAAATTAATAGAGATTTGAATGGAGACGCCATGCTGGTGCCCATCCAGATAAGTACCAACATGGCGGACAGAAACCAACACAAACATCTGTTACCGAGTTTTGCTACAAAAGCGTGAATTTATAATTATTCTTCGAGGAACTCTTCAAACATTTAAGTAATACTTTTTCTAATACATGAACAGTTTAGATAGCAAAATTCCCTGAAATAAGTGATTTTTTTAACCTACATGACAGTTCTCTTGGCCATCATGTAAATGCCGCATCACGCAAAAGCTTAGAAATTCAAGCGTACTCTATCACAAAACCAAGAACCCTTTTGAAGCGAAAATTTGTATGAAAATTAGTTTTCAGCTGCTCGAATACATAGTGAAAGTAAAATCTCGGTGGGATCGATAGTTTTGTAGTTTTAATTTTGGTGACGTCATGTGAAAACCAACAATAAACTTGCTGATATTGTTTTTTTTCACGTGACATCACTAAAAATTCAAACTAAAAAACTGTCGATCCTACCGAGATTTTACTTTCACGATGCATTAGAGCAGCTGAAATCTAATTTTCATACAAATTTTCGCTTCAAAAGGGTTATTGGTTTTGTGATAGAGTACGCTTGAATTTCTAAGCTTTTGTGTGACGCGGCATTTACTTGATGGCCAAGAGAGATGTCATGTAGGTTAAAAAAATGACTTATTTCAGGAACGTTTTCTGTCTAAACAGTTTATGTATTAGAAAAAGTATTACTTTAATGTTTATGAGTTTCCCGAAGAATAAATTCACGCTTTTCAAGCAAAACTCGGTAACAGATGTTTCTGTTGGTTTCCGTCTGCCATGTTGGAGCTCATCTAGGTTAGCACCAGCATGGCGTCTCCATACAAATCTCTATGAGTTTGGGTAAAACATTTCTTTGGATATCTCGTGTACGAAATATTCCTCTGAACTGAATCTTGGCAAGGGTCTTTGTATATGTACCTCCTTTCATTTCCCAGGTTCTGGATTTTATCTATTGAACGGTTTTGATTTTTATTTTGATCTATTTTGAATGGCTTGACACTGAAAACTAGCAATTAAATAAATCCAAAAGTTCCAAAAGTTAAAGTGATGCAGAAACAAGTGCAAATGCAAAGCACCTTTTAGTTAGTAGGATAGACTCTTTATGTTTATGTTGTATCGTGTTTTTATCGTGGAATTTTGCAATTACTAGTCAAATTTATAATTAGTTGTAAATGCTCTAACATTGTATTTTGCTTTTCTCTCTTGTGCGTTGTTTTTATTTTCCCTCCATGTAAATGGAAGCATTGTCATAAGAAGAGTTGTATCTAATATATGTTATCAAAAAAAAAAAAGAGAAAGATTTCGGCTTAGCGATGGGGCTCCGCCTCGCGCACGCGCTTGGAGCTCTGCTGAAAAGTCGCAAAAAAAACACGTCATGTATGCACGATGAATGCCCCTCCTTGCCTGGGAGACTAAGTTCCAGTTGTCTGTAAAAACAACATGGCAACGAACAGAAAGCATTGATGATGAAGTTTTATGTCCATTTTGACGGTCCTCCTGCGTTCTCCCTGGTTTACAAATGGGGTAGTGGTAAAAAGGGTAACGATAAGCTGTTGCTGGATGTATTTCTAGCTGCTTTCAACGAAAGATGCCGTCCTTTGACCAAGCTTTCTGTCGACAACATTTCACTTGTAGACAGGAAGAAAGCCTTACTACCATTTGAGAAAGACGTTGTTTCAATCATCAAGGATGGCTTAGATCTCTTTGTTGTTTTAAAAGAGTTTTCCAAAGCAAAGGAAAGACGAAAAAATATCGTGGAAACCTTAGTACAGACTACTGCTTCTTCAATTCATCTGCTGTCTGTGAAAGAGAAAGGTGGAAAACAATTCAGAATAGTAAAAACCACAGTGGGTTCTGAGAAAGATCTGAGTACCGGTGGATCTGTTACAAACCCTTGTCTCACTCTTCTGGACCTCAAAAAGCTGGACAGTCTGAGAAATGCAGCCTGCATTTGTACCCAAGCCTTGTAAGATGAAACAAACAACTCATCTGCTCTTTCGTGCTTGGCTGAAATTTACTTAGAAGCAGGACGAGCAAAATTAGCATTAGAGTACATTGAGGCAGCAATTCAAGTTAAACCCAATGATACAGGTTTGAGCTTTATCCTTAGAAGTTGTCTAGCTGAAGTTGGAAGATTTAAGGAGGCAAGAGATGTCCATTTGAAATACATGGATCATTTAGAAACCATTGGAGCTTCTCAAGGGCAGAAACATGACATCCAAGCTGCCATTGCCAACACTTTTGCTAAGGAGGGAAAAATTCAAATGGCAGGGAAGCTCTTTTCAGATGTGCTGAGAGAAAATGACACTCATGTCGCAAGTTTAAAAGGGTTGGTCTGAAAAGGACTTACATGAGGCAATAACTATCATGATAACTGCACTGGTGCTCGGCAAAGGTGAACTTAATATTAGAAGAGAGGTTGCCAAGCTGATAACCCGGCCTGGTGGAATGGATGTATTTAGAAATCAAATGCGTGAAACTTGGAAATCATCAGAATCAATGATGTTCATGGCTGATATTCTGCGTGAATCAGGTGCAATAACACAAGCTTTAGAATTAGTTGAACATGCTGGTCAGCTGTCACCTTGTGATCCTGGCATCTGCCTTTATCTTGTCCACACTTATGAAATTCTAAATGAGTATAACAAGGCTTTCCAAGTGGCATGTTCCTTCATAAAGAGAAATGATGCCCTTAAAATTGCAAACATTTCACTCTCTCAGATTGCACCATTCCTTCTGTAGGTTGATGAAGGTATCTATCTAAACAATGCAGCAGTAAAAGAATTGCCAGAATGTAGTGGTCAAGATTATGTTGGGGCAGTTTTGGAATCTGAATTTCAACAGCTGGGACTGTTGTTTACACTGGTGAAAATCTTGTTTGTGAAAGGAGCACTCAACCTTGTGAAGCCTTTGCTACCAGTTCTGGATAAACTTCATAGTGGAAGAGACCTTCACCTCACATTGCTGCGAAATGAAGCTGCATTTTACTCATTCATTAGTCATTTGATGAATGTGCCATTTACATGTATGCCATTAAAAAGGAAACAAGAGTTTATTTACTTTGCTTCTGACAGTCACTGTTTGTCACCTGCATGGAGAGTGATCAATTACCGAGATCAGCCACATGTCATTCATCCCTTACTGGCTACAGGTGTGAAAATTTGGCACATTAGAAAGGAAGGATGCGTTTACCCTAAATTTTCCCTCTTAAATGCATTGAAGGAAGTTCCAAATGGCTCTTATATCATTTTCAATATTGGAGAAATTGATTGTCGTGAAGGCCTTTTACGTGCAGTACACAACTGCAAGTATGACACAATAGAGGAAGCAATTTCAGCCACTGTAGAAATCTACATTGGATTTCTTCAGGAGCAAACAGAGCAGTGCAGTTTTGTGACTTTTGTCCACCCCATATTTCCTGTCTTGGATGAAACCAGGGCTGTAGTGTTAAAATTCAACCAGAAACTTGAAGAGCATGTAAAGAAGTGCAGTGGGTTGCACTGGCTTAATCTTTTGAATGAATTGCTTGTAAAGGAAAACTCTGAATTCACCTGTGAATACAAACTTGATGGCACTCATGTTCACCCAAATTATGTCTCGCTGTTGGAGAGGGTATTGAAAGAGGCATTTGATTAGTCAATTAACAGTCCCTCGTGTACTTTGAGTCAATTTTACTCTCAACGAGGAGGGGTGGCCTTAACCAACTGGACTGATTGGTTGATTAGGATTTTGGCATTATTTAAATATGTGAATTTTAACATGAAGCTAATTCCAAGAATGTTATTGATCCAAAAACTCATGTTATGAAGTCTATTTTATTTAGTTATTACAGTAATATCATAGATGACGAATTACTCCTTAATTTTGGCGTGAAATTTCAGCGTTAATTTGTAATTTCACATGGGAAATTACTAAATTGCATGGCAACCTGCCGTACGTCTCTGTTTCAAGATGGCGAGGAAGTTTTAAAATGTCATGAATGAAGATGTCGGGGCATAAAAACACGCTTTAGAAAACCTGAACACACGAAAGAGCACATCAAGAAGGTATGTTGTGGAAAAATTCTGAAAACGTAAGCCAAATTGTAGCCCCAAAACTTTGAGAGAGTGGAGTTCACGATCGATCGATAAGATCCAGGATAAACAAGTCAAAAATCCTCGATTGCTAACGTAATTCATCACCCATGTTATTAATAGGTAGTCAAATGGTATGCTCGTGAAATTATTCCCTAATTTCACTTGTCACCATTTGATTACACATACAAAGTGGTTTACCACCACTTCTTTATGAGCTCTGCTTTGAAACATTTAATCATTTTCACCTGAAATAAAATAAAGGGTTTGAAGAAGTATGCCATACCCACTGCCAAATTTTCCAAGTAGATTTTTCAGTCTCAATTCATCACCACTTTAGAAAAGAGAAGGGAACTGGGTCGAGTTAACCTTTGCAACGACTTCTGGAACTGTTACTAGGGACAAGGAAAAAAATTGGCCAATAGCTGACAGGCGTGCTCCCTGTAATAAGGTCAGCACTTTTTAACATCTGTCGAAAGGCCCTTGGACACCTTATGAAGTTTACACAACGTAGTATTCCTTGTCGTTACTGATTAGGGCTAAGTACTGTTTCGAAACTGGTTAGGTTCTTTTGTTGAGTTGGGGCTATGTGTACTTTAATTATTTCCTTACCATCCAACAAAAACTGAGTGGTCTAGTGGTTAGTGGATGGTTAGTCTGGTGTAGCGGCAATATTGGTCAAGGGTTCGAATCCTCTTGCCCTTCATATCAATTTTTTTCTTTTAAGTTGAAGAGACTTGCACTTTCATAAATGATTTCCAGCTTGAAATATCATCTAAGTGTGATATAAAAGTAGAAAACAGTTCTACCTCGTGTAAAAATCATAAGGGGAAAAAGGGCCTTTCGGCGGATGTTAACGAGTGCTGACCCTGTAATAATCCCAGAAATAGTTGTGGGACGCACTTGGTTCCAGTTCGCTTCAGTTTCTAAATTGGCAAATAGCTTCTTGTAAGGATTGAAACCTGCTAGTTTGGCCCCAAGAGAAACTGAAAACAATGATTATGCAAAATTTTGGGGTGACAAACAGAGAGCATTATGGTATGTTATGGTATTTTCTGGAGTGGTCAATTGTTGAAGTCATTGTTATAAGGTATGCATCATTATATATGACAAAAACAATGCAGTATTATTTTACTCATTGGACCAATGCCCTCAAATAAGCACCGCCTCTACATAAGTGATAATGCAGCGCTTTGATTTTTAGTACCATTTGACATTGTTAAATATTGCTGTCAGATCTGGAAAGGGACCTATTAAACCTTCAAAACTAGCTTCTATTTTGCTCCTCCTACGCTACTTTTGTTTTATACAAAACAAAGAAAAGGAAAGAAAAAATTAGTAGCAAAGTTATTTTAAAAAAGGGGAAATTTTGTATAACCAATGCTTCGTAAAGTTCAAGAATAAATAAGTGCTGCGGCGCTCTTTCGAGTCAAAAAGCTGTTCTATTTTAACTAGCAGTGGCAGTTAGGAGATGCGGGCGAAACCACTTTCCCATGAATGTGAATGCCTTTTAGTTATAGTGTACAAATGGAATCGCTGCGAATCTTGAAAAATAGATTGAACAACACAGTAAAAAAGACTCATATTTAATGCAACGATTTTTTTTTTGCAGATACAATTAGCCTGCGAATGGTAAAGAGCGAGGAGAGACGTTTGTATTCGCCGGCAAAGATACATTGAAACAGTAATCAGTGAGTAATGCGTGCATGCAGTCATGCACGTGCACGAACTCTTATTATTCAATCGAACATTCAATCCGTGTTCAATGAACAAAGGCTGTTGATATGAAATAGAAAAATTACAACAGGAGTTTAAAGCTTATTGAAGCTTGCGGATGACAAACGACGTAACATGCTTGGACACGTATAAAAATATAAAAACCATGCACTATAGTGAAACCTGAATAAGCTTTTATTTACTTTGCTAGCACTCGTATCTTACCGAAAACTTGTCCTGCAATACATACATACATACATACTTTATTGTTACCTCCCCAAAGGGACTTTTCAGGAACAATGATTATATTACATTATTTATAATTAATTGGGATGTAAGATATTCAGGGGCTTGACCGGTCATGCATTTGAAGGCCATAATAGCTCGGCGATAGTACAGTTGGTCCTTAACAGGCAACCAAGACAGGCTTTTTAAGAGGGGTGTTACATGATCATATTTTTTCGCACCGCTGACGATTCGGCAAGCAAAGTTTTGAACGGCCTGCAATTTTCTAACATTCTTATTCGTGGTATTTGTCCAAACATTCGAACACTAAGCTGAGATCAGGCTCTACTTTCATTTTCCTGGGTAAATAGATTCCAGGCCGGCAAGGCGAATCGGAAAGTCTCCCATTTATATCAGTACTTGTGTACCTGAATTAACGTGTGCTTGCAAATCGAATTTCTAAATCCGATTCGCAACAAGATAATGATTGTTGTATTACTTGCGTGCGCATTCACGTGATTACGGTGACATCAGACGGACATTAAACTCAACACCAGGGCCTTTGCGGCCATATTCCATGCATATTAGCCACTACAACGCGGGCATTCCTAGCCTGCGGAGAAGGCGCTTTGAAGTAGTGGGCGCAAGAAAGAACGGGCGTGCGAGAGGCGTCCGTTCTTTCTTGGGCCCACTACTTCCAAGCGCCCGCCACGCAGGCTAGGACATTCCAATAATGTGGACAGATTCGGAAAAAATCTCGCTATAAAGTAAAAGGAGTGCCGCTGACCAAGAATAGGTGGCGGGCTCCTTTTGTCGCCTGCAACAAGGAATTCAATATCATCCCAATGTCTTCCTACGACATTACGCAAAACCACTAAAACGCTTGTCTTTTATGGTATACAATAACCGAATCACTAAAGAAAACATGTCCGCAGACATGATTAACCAGCCAGAATTCAGAGAATTACGGTGAGTTTTCATGGATTCCACCATATGTTACGTGACCGCTGCTGTCAAAAGGGCGATCAACGATAACTGCGGCATGCTGGGTAATCCGTTCTCAACTGTAAATCTCTTTGATTGTTGTCAAAGTGAATACGCTCCCCCCTCCCCCACCCCCTCCGACAGTCAACTTTCTATGTAAAAATAATGGGGAAAAAGATACAAAGCTGACTTCGTTGCTAATTGTAGTGATTAAGATTAGTAAAGATCAGAAAATACAGACGAGATCAAATCGGAAAATATAATTGACCTAATGTATACTTGAGTGCCTTTGTTATGTTTTGACAACCGTGGGAATCGCGTTCGAGCGGAAATATTTCACCTTATAAGGTTTTAAGTAGCTTTTTCATTGAATGTGACTGGGCAATAATCTAAGAGTGCGATCTGAAAACGTAGTTTCTTTGTCATGTTTATACAAAACGACAAGTTTATGGCAGGTCATACATTACATACATTTCCTGATTGATCACAGCAACTAGAACAAAACTGTAGAGATCAAAACGAGCTGAACAAAAAGATTTGTTACTACTTCTTTTTTTCTGTTTGCAAATATAGATGAAAAAGACGTCAATGAATCTCGGAGTTTGACGAAATCTTTGATGTAGCTTAAGTAAATGGCGGTTTTGTTTGTTTTATCTATGCAGTAAAGGTTTTTAAACAACCATGGCAAATTTACTTTAGTACTGACATCAAAACTGGGGAGTTCGTTCGCGCAATAAAGCATATCAATTCTTTTGTGACCAATAACAATAGCCTAATGGTTCAGGAAGCAATTGAAGTTTAAGACAAACATAAATACATCGATGTTGGCGTGAGAACCTTCATAAGTGATTACATAAAGCGATCAGCGATAGTAGAACTGATTACTGCAGAGTACGCTTGGGGAATGTGAGCATTCGTCTTGCATCTAGGAAAGAAACACTCGCAGGGAGAGGTCAGAACAGCTCCAAACGGAGATACTGTTGCAAAGGGCCAAGCGGGATTGGATTGTTTGCAGTCGTTTGAAAAACGTTACAGAAGTTTAACACCATTATATATAAATTAATAGCAGCTATGCTATTGATCAATAGCAAAAAAAATTTTTGAAACCAGTCAGTAACCAGACAATGACGAAATCCACAATAGAGCCGTGTCTATACCGATCTATGGTGCAAATTTAGGGCTCAGTCTAACGGAAGTTCAGACGGCAACCATCCTGCAAAGTGCTAGGCCAGATACTGATGTTGAAGTTTAGTTCCTGTTTAGGACACTCACTTACAGATTTTGATTACTTTCATGCAAAATTATCAGGAAAAATTGACTATCGATGCTTTTTGTGCAAATTTCAAACTACCGTCGCAGTAGACCTGACTTTGAGGAAACTGTTCTTTGTAGTAAGTAATCGGTTGTATGAGGCTTATTTGCGAGAATCAAGAATATAATTGAGAAGACTGATTAGGATATTCAGTTATTTTCTCTTGGTTTGAAACAAAACTCATGGATAGCATTAGGTTTGGTCATTAAGGTATATTATGTGTACAAGAAAATGTGTTTTCAAATTCATTTGTAACGCTGTGTGTAGACTAAAGACTCCCGTACGGTTTTGCCATAGACAATCGCCGCATGCCTGGTTATAACTGA